CCCTCTTACCCCCCCCCGGCCCCTCCTCTCTCTCCTGTGAACTTCTAGCACAGCGCCTCTGTCTCCTTCCAGAACAACCCCCTTCCCTGATGTTCCCACTCTCGGTTGCATCTAACAAAGAAGCAGAAATACCCCCAATTACCTTGACTGCTGGATACTAAGCCATCGAGCCCAGAGAGGCAGCAATTGCCGCTCAGCATGTCATGGATGCCACGTGCAGTGTCATCCGGCTGCGTGGGCCACGCCTGCTTTGGAACAGAGTCCAGACTGCAGTTCTTGCCGCCTTGCTCTGGGGTGTAGAGCGCGGAGCCCTGGGGGGCCTATTGTGAGCATTTCTGAAGAAATTCTGGGCCCCATCTGCATGTCCTTCATCACTTGGCTGCCATGCAGATTGAGAACCAAGCTTTGTCTGAAGCTTCATCGTTTTCACAAGCAGATGGGCGTTCGAGTGTCCACTTAGTTGAGCAGCGGTGAATGTCTACACTCCAGCCCCCCCCCCCAAGAACACAGCCCCCAGCTCTGTTAGGCTGGGGAGCAAGAAAATATTCTCCGTGGATGGTTGCCTAATGGATATGGTCTCACTCCCTTGCTCTAGGTTTCCAAGCTCCAAGTGTTTTCCTTGCATTCCAGCCAGCCCATTAGAAAACGGTACTTCAGGAGCATCACTCCGGCCCTCACAGACCTGCTTTTTCTGAATTGCACTTGGCATGAGAGCACTGGCCTCATCGAGGCTCTGCAGGAACCAGCCAGAAGGAACTCTATTAAATCCACTCAAGACAGGGGCCGTGAGCTGGCCCGCCACTCCCCCCATTGCCCCTGTGACACCCAGAGAGGTCTGCCTGGGCTCTTGGTTGACAGATTGACCTACTTTTACCTTCTGGGCGCTGAGAGCCTGCGTCTGTTGCTTCGGCCGCTCTCTAGTGCAGAGCTTTGCACTGACCGCCCACAGGCTGCTGTGGCTTCTCTTGCTCTGGCCCCTCTCTTATTGATCTTATCTGCTTGCATGTTGTGTATTAGTTTGGAAACTTATTTATATTCTTCTTTCTGCTGTTTGAAAGTTGTTATTAATTCGCCAGAATTCATTCTCTAATCCAATGAGACAGGAGTATGTAATATAAAACCACTTAGGAAGGCAAGATATAGTAAATATCTTTTTTTTTTAATGCAAGTAAGTCTCTGCTTAGGCTCTACAAATAAGATATTTTTTTCTTTTTTTTTAAATATGTTTTTATTGATTTCTGAGAGAGAGGACAGGAGAGGGAGAGAGAGAGAGAAACATCAATGATGAGAGAGTCATCGATCGGCTGCCTCCTGCATGCCCCCTACTGGGAACCAAGCCCCCAGCTTGGGCATGTGCCCTGACCAGGAATTGAACCACGACCTCCTGGTTCATAGGCCGACGCTCAGCCACTGAGCCATGTCGGTCGGGCTATATTAAATATCTTAATTGGAAATCAATGTCTAACTATACTTTTTGAATTGAGGGTGGGTGTAACAAACCACATTTTACCTGGTAGCTGCTATTATGTTAAGGGGCTGACGTGCAGGCAGGGCAAAGGGCACTAATACAGGCCTGCCCAGAGAGCAGTCATCCATCCCCCCATGAGAGAGACACATCAGTTGGTTGCCTCCCACACACATCCCAACCAGAGGTGGGGATCAGACCTGCAACCCAGGTACATGCCCTTGACCTGGAATCGAACCCGAGACCCTCCGGTGTGCAGGACGCGGCTCTAACCACTGAGACACGCCGGCCAGGGCCCCAACTACAGTTTAAATCATGATTAACAACCTCGGTTCCCAGACCTACCCAGGAATACATGAAAACACCTTCCCGGTGATTGTCCTTCCCAAGGGCCCCACAGAGCTGGGGAATCGGAGCCTTCAGATTTCAGCGAGTCCTTTGAACAGATGAGCCACCTCCCACATCCCCCCTTCCAGCTGCCACACTGGTTGGGAAACTGGAACAAAAGCCCTCTGTCAACGGCTGCCCCCCACCTTCAAGCCTTTGGGCCAAGTTCCAGATGTGAGCATGAGGGCTCACCCTGGGGCGGGACTGGAACAGAGGCCCCTTGTGAACAGAGTCCGGCTCTCTCAGCGACCCGGCCTTTTCTGGCTCTGAGGTCAGCTCCAGGGTCCCTGTGGCTCTGTGATGCCAGGAAGACTCAGGAATCCAACTTGGGACAAGAGACNACCCTGGGGCGGGACTGGAACAGAGGCCCCTTGTGAACAGAGTCGGGCTCTCTCAGCGACCCGGCCTTTTCTGGCTCTGAGGTCAGCTCCAGGGTCCCTGTGGCTCTGTGATGCCAGGAAGACTCAGGAATCCAACCCGGGTCCTGCAGGTTTGGTCTCTGCACTTAGAGCCTGAACTTCTCAAGGGCTGGATCCAAGGCTGATGATTCCTGTACCAATCCCAACGGTTATGTGAGGTTTTTCCTCACAGCACCACCAGGAGAGTCTCTGATTCCAGCTGGTTGTCCTGCAGTTTAGCTCAGTTCTGAGGTGTCTGCCCAGAGATAGCGTCAGATCCCACAGGTTAAAGGCCCGGTCCCACAAGATGCCACCCCCCCTTCGGGTGCCAGTCGCAAGTCTAGGTTGTCACCTGTGCTCCTGACCAACAGATTACAGACTGGAGGTTCCAACAACTCCCTCCTTGGGCTTGATTAATTTGCTAAAGCGGCTCACAGAACTCAGAGAAACACTTTACTTACCAGGTCACCAGTTTGTTACAAAAGGACAGAACTCTGAACAGCCAGACGGAAGAGATGCACGGAGCAAGGTGGGAGGGGAAGAGTGGGGAGCCCCTATGCCCTCTCCAAGCAAGACACTCTCCCCACATCTCCGCATGGCCACCAAACCCTGTCCTTTCGGTTTTTTACAGAGGCTTCATTGCGTAGGCATGAGTGATTGAATCGCTGGCCATCGGTGACTGATTCGCCCGCCAGCCCCTCTCCCTCCCTGGAAATCGGGGTGGGACTGAAAGTTCCACCTCTCTGTTCGGGGTTGGTTCCCTTGGCGACCAGCACCTGCATCTCAGGTATGTGGATGGACAGCTCCCTGTCGTCATTCACTAGACCTATCGGGGCGCAGATTCCTTTGCTCAAATGGGGCGTGAAGGGTGCTTAGAGAACGACCCATGACGGGCACCTGATTTTGCAAAAGTCTCTACTCATTCAAGCACAGGCTGATTCGTCAAGGCCTTTCCCCCCAGGTGGTGAGCTGTGCATGGCCAGCCCCATGCCTCCCCCCGGGCCGCCTCCTTTCACCGGCCTCAGGGATCTTACTAAAGGCTCCTCTGTTTACGACCTTACAGGGGTTCCTGCAGGGAAAGAGCCAGCCCCTGGGCAGAGCACAAAGCCTGCCCCCACCTGGCCCCTGCCTGCCTTGTATGCTCATCTCCCCAGCCCACATTTATCTTGAGCACCAGCGATACCAGGCCGCTTACAGCTCCCTGAGGGACAAGCCCTTCTAGTCTCTGGATATTTCCCTAGAAAACTCCTGCTCAGCCTCCAGGCTCACTCCAGGCCTGGCTGCTTCTGGAAGCCTCCCTCCCTCCCTCCCTCCCTCTGCATCCCGGGCCCATCC